TCGCATCCTTCCTCCACGTTTACGCGTTTTGGGCATCGCCGCCGTGCGCCTAGACCAAGTCTCGCGCGCGTCGACGGGCCTTGCCGCGGACCGCACCGAGCGCGAAGATACGGTGAGGGCATTGGATAAAGAACACTCAGACAAGGAATCCAAGGTCTGGAAGCTGGTGTAGCACCAATCGAGACTTGGCCATGGATACCACCACCGCCCTCATCAGATAAGGAACCCTCCAGGGTCTGAAGCCTCCTTGGCACATTCCTTCACGAACGCCCCCGCCGTACGACAGCGACGACTGATGGGTGCACATGGAGAGGATGTCCGAGATGACTGAGGCCATGACTGTGGGCGCCCTCGGGCAGTCGCCGGCCCGGCGGCCTCGGAGGGCGAGGGCAGGATGCAGATGCCGCAGGCTGGTTCTGAGCATCGTCTGGTCGATCCTTGTCTCCACTGGCGCGGCCATGGCCCCACTGGCCAGATTACCTCCCCGGATGGGGGTACATTCTGGTTGACACAAGAGGGGGTCCAGCTGAAAGGGGGTGGTGCAATAAGATTTGGGAACTGCATTGCACATGTATTGCCCCAGAGAATTGTATTGCCTTGCATTGCAACTAATGCATTGCACGCAAAAGAACCAGCAATTCATTTCCGCCCCAAATATATTACACGCCCCAAAATCTATTGCGACTCACCAAATGAATTGCGCCCGATCTATTACACCATCCATTGTAGCAGCTAGACTCCCATTTGCGTCAACCAAATATCTGCTGCTACCTTCAGGCTTCGCGTGGCCTATCCCCATCCGGGGGGGGTGGATAGTAGGGCTTAGATACCATGGCCCGGTGGAGATGGGGATCGGTTGAATGATGTGGACATTCACATACAATGTCAGAGGTCCGCGCGGATTGGGCCGCGATAGTGGGGGGGGGGCGATAAAAAGGGGGGCAGCGACGGCTGCAGAAAAGGTGCCCTTGAGGGCCCCTGAAGGGGCCCTCTGGCCCCCCAAGGGGCCTTCAGAACCCGAAAATGGCACCTCTCTTCCCCTCCGCATTTATCGCCCGCCAGTTGAGCGTTGCCCAAGCGGAGTTCTTGGGTCGGCGCCGGGCCCTCCTGGCGGCGCCTCTGGCGTCGCCCTGGGGCGCGCTCCGCGCGCCAGGGAGGGCGGTGCAGCAGCACAGCTCCGAGATCCGAAAGGACCTCCAGAAATGTTTTATGTTGGTGCCATATGCTCGTCTTCGGCTAACTAGTCAGTGGGGCGACGGGATCTATACATATCCACTGCCCCAGGCATGCCCCATCCTGGGCCCAGGAGCGGTGCATATGCACTCCTCGCCAAACCACAAAGGTGTATACACCGCTCATGGGCCCAGGATGGACCAGGCCTGGGGCAGAGGATATGTGTAGATCGTGTCGCCCCGTGATGCGGGCCCTGGCGGGAGGTTATGCAAACAGGCCCAGGCGCAGGGTGGCCGGCAGGTGCCGAAGGGGGACCCCCTGTCAGCTGAGAGTGGCAACCGGCCACTTGCGGCAGCGCTGGGGGCACCTGTCAGCTCGACCGTCGGGGGCGCCCAGGGCCCCCAAAACGGTGCGGTGACCACACCGCGTGGTGGATCAGCGTGGATCCGGGGTCACCGCACGGGTTTGGGACTCGGGTCGATCTCCGAAGACGTCTCGGGCGACCAGGACCTGCGAAAACCCAAGACCGTGCGGTGACGGACCGCGAGGTGAGGGCTCTCGGAATTTCGAGGCCACCGCGCGGTCCGTCACCACACTGTTGTGGGTCCCCCGAAGCACTGGATAGGACGGGCGGGCGGGCGCAGTCTTCGCGGCCAGCTGTGCGGCTGAGCCAGGCGCTGGGTGAGCGGTGCGTGCGTGAGGGTGCGGGGAATTCCACCGCCTCGGATTGGTGGTGGTCGGTCTCGCCGCCAACAGCCAGCGGGCATGCGCAGTCTCCTCCTCCTCCTCCTCCTCCTCCTCCTCCTCCTCCTCCTCCTCCTCCCAGGCCAACTGCAGCAAAGAGGGGTCGGTCCCCTTCCCATCATTTGGGCAGCAGACGGAATTCACGCACAGACAGGCGCAAGGGGTGGGCTCATGCCTTGCCCCTTGCGACCGGGCGTGCTCCCAAAGTCTCAATGAGTCAATCGCCTGCAGCTGCATCGGGCGCTGCATCCGTACCGCTCGAGTGGCGCCTCGGGCTCGTGGTACGAAAAGTGGGTGCGGGTCGGTGGGCGGGGCGGGCAGGCGAAGGTGCGTCGGCGGGTGGGGGTGCTGGCGGTGGTGGGGGCGGTTTGGCGGGGGTGGGTGCGGGTTGGTGCGGGCGATTGGCTTACAAAGGATTTACAGCAGATCGCGCTTTCTGGGAAGCGTGGGCGGGTGTGGCGGGCAGGCAACAACGTCCAGTGGAAAGGGAGGGGAACACACTGCCAGAGAAAGGCTTAAGCAATTGCCAGAGAAGCCCAGCGGCAACCCTTGCCACGCTGGAGTCAGCTATTTGCCATGCCACCCAAACATTTGCCCACGACTTAAGCATGTGCCACGCCGGAACCAGCGGCAAATCTTGCGAGCGTCCTAGACCCTTACATCCCCCATTCAGGCGAGGCGCAACTGTCTGCTCCTTCACCCTCCTCCTCCTCCTCCTCCTCCTCCTCATTCTCCTTCTCCGAGTGGGCTCAGACAAACGAGGAAGGCGGGGCTCCATATCTCTCAGGTTCGAATCTGCTCGCTCGTGGCTCCGTCAGTATCCGACCCTTCCCAACCCCAAGACGGCGTCCTCTACCTCCTCCTGGACCTCATCCTCCGCTCCTCCTCCGACTTGTCCTCTCCCTCCTTCTCCTCCCTCTCCTCTCCCTCTCCTCTCCCCCTCATCTCCCACTCCCCGCGTCCTCCTCCATGGTGCACGACTCGATCGAAGCACCGCGTCGCATCATCATCGTCCTCCAGCTGCTCCGCTTCCTTGCCGTCTGCGGAGGCCAGCCAGGCGCAGGGGACGCCGTTGCCACCAGGCAACGTCGCATGAGCGGCAGAGACCCCCGAGCCCCCAGACAGGGCCCGACCCGGCGCAAGGGCCCCGCTTTATAGTCATCTCTCCACGGGCTCCAGCTGCTCCCACTGGCCGCCGACGACTTCCTGTGGGGCGGTGCTCTGCCTCGAGGGCGCCGACATTTCCCCCTCCCCTCACGCCCGCGTGTGAAAGCCCCTCCCCCCGCTCGTCTGGGGCACCGGCAACCTAGGGAAACAATCAAGGACATAAACACAAAAACTCGGAGGTCCTCGCGGGTTCCTCGGATCGGCGCTGGGGCCCCCTGGCGGCGTCTCCAGCATCGCCCCCGGCACGCTCCGCGCGCCAGGGAGAAGGGTCCAGCGCCGATCCGAGAAATCCGCGTGGTCTTCCAAGCTTTGATGCTTTTGCGATTGTTTCTCCCCCACAACCGTCGCCACGGACAGCGAGGAATTACCGCCAGCCCCTCGACCACTCGAGGTCGGCATCGCGTTCATGGCTCCATGTTTTACGGACCCCCGTGTAAGATTCTGCATTGGGCCTCCACGTGTTGCCTCGAAGCTTGCCACCTCAGGGTAGGCGGTGTCTGGAATACGTCAGTTCTCTCTGAGCATCGCAGACCACGAGGTGCAGGCTACTAGAAGAAGAAACAACTGCTCAACATGTGCTGGAGGCACGCGCGGGCTTCTTGGATCTGCGCTGAACCCCCCTCCCTGGCGCGCGGAGCGCGCCAGGGGCGGCGCTGGAGGCGCCGCCACAGGGTTCCAGCGCAGATCCAAGGACTCCGCGCGGAGCTCCGACAATTTGTGTGTTGTGCAACTGCTTTTCTTCTTCGATCACCCGAAGCGCAAAATATGCAAACGAATACAGCTGGACCAAAGCAAAAAAACATCCTCCAAGAGCATAGAGGCCCTCCGCCGGCCCAAATACCCCAAACCATAAGACCACCAAGAGTACCCCTCCCAGGATGCACAAGAACATACGACATACACGAAGAACGCTAGGGCACCCTCCCCGAACCAACCTCGATCATACATATACTTCGGTCCGACCGCATGGTCCTTTCCCCTGGACAGCAAGGAGCCCAAGAGCAGGCAACAGCGAACACATCGCAGCGCTACGGCGACCGACGAGAGCAGCGATACCGCCCCGTGCGCGGCCACCGTGCCCAGGTCTACAGAGGCCCTGGGAAAAATCCCCTCCCCCCTTCCTCCTCCTCCTCCTCCTCCTCCTCCTCCTTCTCCTCCTCCTCCTCCTCCTCCTCCTCCTCCTCCCCTGTCCCCGACCACCTCTCTCCCCTCCCTCTTTTCCCTACGACCTCATCCGTCCCACTGCCTCCTCCTCCCTCCGTTCGGGCACACGCCAACATGGATGAGGGATCGGTGGACTTGGTCCACGGGTCGGGAAACGCACCCGCGAAACACGAGGCCAGTGCCGCTTGACCTGGCGACGGGGCGCGCCGCCTATGTGGTATGGAGGCGGGGCCCGTCGCTAATCCACGCGCCTGAGTCCATGTCTGTGTTCCCTCCATCGTCGGCCCCACCTCCTCCGTCTGTCGTCCTCCGACACCCGCGCCAGCCGCCCGCCCCACGCCCGATCAACAGCAGGCGTGGCGGGGGTAGGAACATGCCGCGGCGGGAGCGGAACAGGGCAGGGGCAGGTGAGGAGGGGCAGGGACAGCTCCTGCGACGAGCGAACAAGACACACCCATACCCGTACGCGGGTCGAAATGAGGAGGTCTGGCTATGGGCATGGGAAAAGGGTTGTCGGACCCTGGGGGAGGCTCCCGTTCGAGCGGGGACCTCCGTTCGACAACACGCACCCATAGCCCTCTCCGTTCCCCCTTCTGGGTATGGGTGTGTGTGTGTGTGTGTTGTTCGTTCGCCATCCTGGGAGGTCTTCAGAGAACGAATATTGGCTATCATGCGCAATTAAGGAACGATTAAACCGCATAAACCTACATTAAGCCCAATATCATGCCGGCTAAGCCCGACTGTGCAAACTGCATGAATAATGAATGCGGGATTATGCGCGACTTGGCCGAATTAGGCCAGTTTTCAACCACGGACATATCAGCGCCGATGCTGAATTGAACCTCCGAAGAATTTCACTCTAAGGCAGGGGTGTGTTCCCATACATTCTCGCGTCGGGGCACGACGGAAAATTCTTAGCAATATTCGGACTATGGATGCCCTCGCCTGGCCGCCGGACCGTCAAAAAGGGACTCAGGACGAAGCACGGGTCCCCGGGAAGGTGGCCCAGACTTCTGGGAAGCCACGTTGTGAAACATCACGATGTCGGATGTCTGGGTGAGGGGGAGGCCGGACAGGCGACGGAGAGAGGTGGGAGTGGAGTGCATGGGAGTGGGGGAGGCGGCGGAGACAGGAGGGCAGGGGTAGAGGCAATCGTTCTGGCACGAAGAATCGTGGAACAAGGAAGCGCGTGCAAACCGGAATCGTCTGCCTTCCGAGTGGCTGCAACAGACAGCACGTGGCGAAACAAGATTAGAGATCCTACGAGAGAGCTGTCACCCAAGTCCTTGAACATCAAGCACGACGTCTCGCCCACCTGCTCGGCTGTGCCATTCCCACGTATCCTTCTCCCCCTCCTCCTCGAGAGGAGGCCACCAACTGTACCACTGCACCGATCCTGGTCGGGCCCATCCTGGGCTCAGTATCCGCGTATGCGCCTTCCTGGCCTGGCCAAGAAGCCATACTGAGGGGGGGCATCAGGGGGGGGACCAGCTCAGGGGGGGAAACGACGAGCTGGAATCGGCGAGAAGTCGCCGATTGATCGGCGATAGGCCCCCGAAAGCGAATCCGCAAGCTCCTGGGCAGGTGCTATCCCCCCTCCTGTCGCCGCCGACGGGTCGGCGCTTGGGGGTCGAGCGCCTCCCCCCCTCCCCCCACTGAGCCTAGCCCCCTAACGTTGCCCCTGACATACACACCCAGCCTGTGCCAAGGGTGGGCCCGGCCAGGATCCATGTGCGCACCGCCTAAATTACGATTGAGAAAATCATAAGTTCAAAGACCTGGGCAAGATTCCCGAACGTTTCTATAGACACACCTGGGCCAATATCTGTTGTTAACGCTGGAGGAGGCGAGCGTGCTCAACAAACTGGGCCAACTTTCGGCGAGTTGGTTGAGAACCGCTGGCGCAACTTTTCGTGAGGAGGTGTCTTAATCATATGCACGACCAGATGTGCAGTTGGCGTCTTCCTGCTCGAGCTCGTGCTTATGATGCTGTAACCGACCGTTTCCTGGCCGCTGGCTGCTATCCACAGCTCACAGCTGTGGCTCCTCGCCTCCGCCCCCAATCTCTTCGTCATCCCCTCGTCCTCCCTCCTCCCTCCTCGTTCTCCGTCGTCTCCTCCGACGTCTCCTCCCTCTTCAAATTACCTCCTCCTCCTCCTCTTCATCCCTTACCCCTTCTCCCTCCTCCTCCTTCCTGCACTCCTTTTCCTTATAGATAGCTTCCCCCTGTCGCACCCCGAGGCCAGTTTTGAGGGCGGGCCAGGCGATTCGCCTGAGACTTCCTTGCGCATGGGGTTGGAGTACAAAGGTGCAGAACCCCTGATCCGTAGGTGGAGGAAAGAAGGGAAAGATGGAGATCTTGTCCTCCTGTGCGATCAATGGTATGACCAATGCCAAGACCTGAGCCCAAACGGCCAGGAGACAGGTGAGTAAGGAGTACATATGAGGGTATTACACGGGTTCAGTTCACACACCCCGTCCCGAATCCCGCCCGAAAGGGCAGGACTCGGGAAAAGGAGGCAAGAACCCGTAATCCTTTTACTCCTTGAAATGCGCAAGCAGCTGGGCAGAAAATCTTGCATCGCCTCAGCTGCGCCCCGAACGCAACAGCTGCGTGCAAAAGTACGCAGCGCATCCGCTGGTATGATCGGGCAGGGTGAGGACGACGGAGCACCCAGGGCCCCTCTTTCTTCTCCAAGCACGCTTTGGTGCCCCCTCGGTGCGCCCCCCAAACGCTTCGGCACTCGATGGCGGAGAAGAATGGGACACGGGTGAGCGGACCAAGAGGATCTGAGCAACCTAGAACAACATCAAAAGCTGCTGCGTCATAGACGCAGCAGTTGTTGCCACCAGCAATATAACAAAAGCCGGGTATCAGATCATTATCAACGCATGCTCGTCATCAAAGAGTACGCTGTCGCACAGAGGATGTAAACAATCAAGAAAGAGGCAGAGTCGTGTTGGCGAACACGAAAAGCTGCATCGACAAATTCTGCATTGGGATACTCTCCTCGGCAACGCTCCTTAGGAGTGTGCCTTGGGTTTCACCAAGATGTATACAAGAGGCCACTCATCATGCATTGTGAAGTGGCCTAAGACTGTGCGTGCATTGATTGCCCGAGGCAAACTTCTCAAATATAAAGTTCAAGCATGCTCGAGCAGTGGGCCATGCGGCCGACATTTCTAGGCATTGCCTCTCATGTAGAACTCGCTGGCCCACGCGCGATGGCCATCGACTCCAATGAAACTGGTCGTAAACGTTGCCCAAGGCGTCCTTGGGGTCCAATTGCGGAAACGCTGATTGTGCTGCAGATCGCGGATGTAGACGTACCCGTCGCTATTCTCCGCGATGTACACCCAGCGCTATTGTTGTAGCTCCAATATCTTGGGCCCCACTGGCTGCCCTCAAGGTGATGGCGCCACCGCGTGGCGTAATCAGCGGCCGCGCGCGCCCGCTTGGCACGCGGGGGCGTCGCAGGTCTGCGACTGGTATCGGCTGGCTGCGAGCCGCTCGGCTGCGGGGCGGCGGCTGCGCCGCTCCGCCCAGCAGGCATCACTGCCAGCGCGCCAGAGGCGCGGCTTCCAGCAGCATCGCCGCGGGCGGCGCGAGGCGGCGGCGACGTGGCGTCATGTGTGGTAGGTGAATGTGCGGGGGTGGTACCAGGATCGGTTCAACCCCTGAACCCTTCCCCCTTGTTCAGTCGATCCCAGGGCAGGTCCAACAGAAGCGAGTCTGGCCAGGTTGCGCCGCGTGGTTGTGTCATAAGTGCCGCCCCCGCGGGGAACGGCAATCGCGACGAGACCGCGCTCCTGCCTGGTGCCTCTGTCCATCCTACCCTCATTCATCCACCAGTTCTTGCGACCAGCGAAGCCAAGCGCTTGGCTGCGGGAGTGAATGTCGCAGGCCATCCGCACGTCTTCAATGGTCCAAGGCATCTGACCAACGGCCTCACGGGCTCCGTTCATTTGGTGGTGGAAACGGGAATCGTTGAGGTAACGCTGGATGACGTTGCGGAAAAGATGGCACAATGGGCGGTGGAACGTCGGGTGCGCCCAACATCCTGCACGCACTTGCAGGTGGGGAACCCGCTTCGCACCACCTCTTGTACCTCATTTCTGCCTTTTTTTCGCCATCTGCCTCAATCTATTACGCTGCTCACCGATTTCCGAACGTCGCCCCATCATGTAGATTCTCGTCCCATCAAAGATGAGGCGGGCGACGTCGTTGTGGGACAGGTTGTCTCTGATCCACCGGTTGAGCTCCTGCAGGTGCGCCAGGTCGGTGGCCTCAGCTCCGCCTTTGCCTGTGGCACCTACAGAAATGCTGTATTGCCAACAAATGTCGCTTAGAGTGCCGTCGTTGGTAACGACCCCCAAAGACAGGAAACGACTGCAATTCTGGCATCGAGGGATATCACGCTGGAGATTCTCAGGGGCCCCGGACGAAACCAGATCCCCAAGGGTGCCCCAGCGGATGTTTCCATTGGCCCCAAAGGCAAGGGAATGACCAATCTGGTTCATTGCCTCACGATTGAGCTCGGCATTGGCTCGGGAAGCGACCGATCTTCCGATTCCCTCGACCTCGGTCAGCGATAACCGATCTCTCAGTGGAGCCGATGTCTGTGATATCAATATGACCACATGTTCTGGCCAAGTCCGCACGTATGCGCGTGGCCTCTGCCTGCAGGGTAGTCTCGTTGTCGCCCACAGTACGGTCGATATTATGCTGCTCGGCTAGGACCTGTACCATCGTTTCTTGATCTGGTGCGGCCGATGCAACACTGCCTGGGCCCGTGTTATTTCGATTGGAGCATCCTGAATGGCGGCGCCTGGATCGTCCTGGCCAGGCGCAGCAGGTGTTGCCGCCGGCTCCTCCCATACGGGGAAGCCTGGATCTCCATGTCTCTTTTCACATTCTGAGAAGAGTAGTCGAAACGCTATGAGAGCGGGGTGATTGGTATTAATAGACACATTGGAGAATTGTTTCAACTCATTGATGCCCTCCAGCAAGCAACTCTGGTACACCTTAGAGATCCACTGGAAGATCCCTGTAGTGGTTCCCAGCACGGACTTGGGGTAGACGAACCGTAGCATCTTCTTGAAGAAGTGCTCTGCACTGCATATTGGTAACTGTCGTGCCCATGTATGGGTACGGTTGTGATGTATCTTGTACGTCTCCGAACCGGTCCCACATCGAAGCTGGAAGCTCAGATATGATTCGATCTTGTCTTGTATGTATATGTTGGGACCGCCGTGTATTTCGATGACCTGGTTGAGTTGGCATATCGGTGATTCTACCAGCAGGGCTGACGTCCAGTAATACACCATGTGGTCATCCGATTCGTGAATCCAGTTGTCGGCATCTTGTGGATGATAATCTCTATTCGTAATAATGTGCTCTGGCGGATCGATGATGCTTTCGAGGATAGAGGACCCAGAGTCCTCATCTGCGAGGATCTCGGCTGTCATCTCAGCTCGCATGGTGTCGTTGGCTGCCATTTGGCCCGCAGTCAACGTTACCTCGGAGATGTCAACAACGATGGTGGATCGATCATCGGTGGTCGATTGCCGCCGTCGACATTGCCACCTGTTCTCGATTGCCGCCTGTTCTCGATTGCCGCCGTCGACATCCATAGGATCTTCAGCAGGTGTCGCCACCGGCTCCTGGTCGGATCCTGGCGTCCGAGGAGCGGCGCGTCTGGGTGGCGTGCGTGGAATACGCACTCGCTGAAGAGTCGGGACTCCGAAGTATGGTAGCTCACCTGATTGAGCGTACTCCTCAACCTGCGCGCTGCATGATGATGGCCCCCTCATTGCTATCTTCATATCAGCATCGTCGATTTTATCAGTACGCACTGGCATGGCGAAAACGACGCCCATGAGTGGTATATTTTTGTCACAATACCAGATATTGACCCATCGTAAACCTTAGTTGAGAATGGGTACCTGCACCGCAAAGAACTTTTCAAAAACGCCAAAATGCATGACGGGGCCGTAGATGTGGCCTTTGTGCATGCGGACTCTGGTGTTGTAGCCGCCCTTGGGGTAGTGGTTGTCATAATGGTAGCAATTGATCTGACCCCAATTCTTAACCAGGATGAAACCTCCAGTGCGGACGCCAGTGAAAATGGGGCGTCGATCCCAATATTGCTGTGTAGTGTTTGCTGTGATGGGCCTGAGGGCCGCTCTGCAGCACGACATTGCAACTAGCCAGTTCCTGTCCTGAGTGTTGCGTACACTCCTGCTGACCATAGCACGGACAATGGCTCTCTCATCGAAGGTGTCGGGGTCGGCCATTTCATCAGCTGAGTGAAC